AAAAAAAAAAAAAAAAAATCCTAAGTGATTGCTATCTGCAATCTTAACGTGCTGGGTGTAGAGAAGAAATTTCATGAAAGGTAAGTTAATCCAATCCCTCCAGTTGCCAGATGCTCTTCTCTGAAGTGCAGCTCTAAACAGCCTATAAGGCACTGTGGTTTTTAAAGATCTCTCCGTGGACCAAGACCTGGTGATTTCTTTGTTCAGAAAATTTCTTCTCACCGTAGCTCTTTTCTCAATTAAACCGATTCAAAAGCTCCTACCACACAGCTAAAGTAGGAGTCTGCAGAGAAGTGGGAACCTCTAACACTGCCCCATTTACCCCAGTCCTTCCTGGACCAGAAACATTCTTACCTGTAATGACATTTCTATCAGCATCAGCAGCTTCTTGATACCAATCCAGACAGGCTTCCCTTTGACATTCTGTGCAATAGTGCTACGTTCCTTGTCTTTGAAGCTACCCAGGAGCTGGGGGGGAAAGAAAAAAAAAAAATCAACAACAGCAGACTGTCAGTAGGAATAATGCTACCTAACTCAGGAAAAAGGGACAGAGAAGCTAGAAAGCATTTTCTAGCTTAGAAGGAAAATTTGTTGCAATATATGTAGACAAGGTAAAACACTCAGATTCTTTTATTCCATAATGGTTCCTTTCGTAACATCTCTAATCGAACAGTTAATGATTCTCTCTTTTGATGCATTCTAGGTTTTCTCCGGTTAGAGTCCAGAAGGAACACAGTGGCTCAAGCTACAATAAGTTTTCAAAACTGCTGCAAGAGTGGCTGTGTCTTTCAGGCTTTGGTGACAGTATCATTGTGACAATTTTGCAAGTTTGCACAAAAAGATTTGCCTGTTCAGTTTTTTAACAGCCTTCAATATTCACTACAATTTCCACTATGGCATAGAATAAGAAGCCTTTACGGGCACGAATTAATAAAGAACCTATAATCTCTTCAGCACCAAATGCCTTCATTTGATGCTGTTCCAATTCCTGAGAGCCTGGCACCCTCCAGGCACATTCAGTTTAAGTGTCCCAATTATATTCATTACCCACTTCCATGCCCTCGGAATCTTTCAATCCGCTCCACAAGCGTTTTCCCTAGGTCTACCGTTCTCTCATTTTGCCTTAATTTATTGTATGAAAAAGTAATTTGGAGAAGCCTTAGAACTGTTACGTTATGACATAATGTTAAGCGGGACAGTGTTCCCAAATGCAGAGCTACTGCAAAATCACTCATTTCCAGGAAATTTTGAGCTTGTTTGTCATCCTCGAACTTTTTCTCACCTCCAAAGCCTCCATCAGCTGCTCCCCTGTTGCAATGTTGGGCACATGAATTGTAGTGCTGAAAGCATTCAGCATTTCCATTTCCTGCAGGACATCTTTGCGACTGGTGGTTCCAATGATTAGAAGCTTGCGACCCTGTCCACACAATGGGATACGTGTCAAGAAAGAAAAACCAAGAGAAGAACCAGCCTTAGGAAGTTTCAGCTAACTACAAATGAAAAATGGAAAATGACCATGTAAAAATACCACTTAAAATAAAATTAATAGGATTAAATTTGTCAGTAATTGAAGTAGTCAACATCAACCATACAAGACTAGGACCAGATTTCAGAAGTCAGAGCAATGCCACCAATGTGGTCCAAAAATTACGGTACACAGAAGACCCACCCATACTCACAGCTTTCCTACCTTACCTTTCCTTCTAAATTCATCATTATAAATAGCTGAATCCTCATTACATTTAAAAGCATGAGCAAACCCCTACTCCCAAAAGCTGAATTACAGATGACTTCTCAGGGGAACAGCCTGTCTTTAGAAATCCTGTGGGTACAGTGAATTCTCTGCCACTCTACAGACAGTTCCAATGGTTTTACAGCTCACGCTTTAAGAGCGGAGGTTGCCCTAAGTTCGTAAGACTTCCCATTGCCAGCATGGTCGTATAAAAGGACAGTACCACATCTGGCAGCCTCCGAGTTCAAACCGACAGTGCACACACCAATTCCAAGTTGGCCTGAGCAATAACAGGGTTTATAAATAATAGAGCAATGAATGGAAAACATCAACTGCCAGTAAAAATCAACTCTTGTTAGTTCTTCTTGCAAATGCCATTTCATTGCTATTTGATTTTTACCATGCAGTGTTCAGACACTGACAAACGTGGGCTGACGGAAGGAGCTGTTGGGATTACGAGCTGTGATCATAATCAAGGGAAAAGTCCCTTTTCCAATTCAGTACAGAAGGAACCCACGGGCTGAGGAGAGGCCTGCCTGGCCAAGCTTCCTCCTCATTTGCTGTACAGAAGTTTAGCTGACGCTCAGAGACAAAGACTAGAGTTCTACGTTTCAACCTCGTGACACAAAACTCTGTTCAACATCATAAAAAAAAAAAGACCAAAACAAACAAAAACCTAAAAATTATCCCCACAGAGCAGCCAGAATTAATTTCGTAAGTGCTTTGCATTCCTTTGACAAAGGATGAAAACCTATTTAAACTTAATACATCTGATGAAGATGATGCATCTTTGCAGCATTTGTTATTTTTCCCCCGAGTGCCATTGTATTCACTGACTTTTTGCGTTCGAACGGATTACACTCCTGCTTTGGGTGATGGACAACAAGAAAGCACCAGCACTGGTAACAAACTCAAGTGCTCACTTCAAGCTTGTTTGTAGCCGAAGACAGCAGAAGGGAGTAATGCCTGGCAGGCTGAAACCAGAGCATGCCCCAGGTCAGGAGCTTCACGCAAAGGCTCTGGCAGGGAAACGCTGCGCTCACCCTTCTGCGCACACCTCAGGAGGCACCACGCGCACCAGCTGGGTCACCTCCTCACAGGGGGAAATCCTCCGAAACCTGCCGGGCAATTTCATGGGGAAAAGCAGCCAATTCCTGAACTGACGACAGAAATGCCAGGTTTCAAACTGCACTGGGAGCAGGGAATGCTTTGTTACCAGGCAAAACTCGCCTGCTGGCGGCACACAGCGAGCAGAAAAAGGTCTGAGTGTCTGGAAATGTCCGTAGGTAGCCTTGAGAAGGGCACACGATGCCCGCAGAACGCATAAATACAACTGTTCTGTAGGCTGCTGCTTCCACTATGTTCTGCATGTCCACGCCTTCACAATTGCACGCTATTTGTTTCTTTTTTGTTGGTCACTGCGTAGCAAGGCCAAGAAAATAGCATTTTACAAGTTTGAGCCAAATCTGAGCAATGCGGCAAGATCTTGCATGCAAAGATGAAAAAACAGTGCACTCAGTGGAGAGTAAGTGAACGGCATTTGATATCCTCTCCTACAAGGAATTCAGAAAGCCCCGTCAGGTGCTCATTTTCAGCTAAAGCACTTAATAGGCCAAGAAAAAGAAATGACGCTCGGCAACAGAAAAGCTTTTTGCCTATGTGAAGACAAAATTTCAGCCGTCTTCATCTTTGGAAGGGGTTGGTAAAACAGATTTTAAACACAGGCTTGGAAGCTGTGTGAAGTGAGCCCCCCAAGAACTCCTGAACCATTCCCTGCTCGCGAACCACAGAAGCGTGGTACAAACACCCCTGACGTTTGCTCTGAAGTCACCACCCAAGGACAAGGTTAAAAGGTGCTTTCAACTTGCTAAGCTATACTTGGGATAACAGCACATGTGACAGAAGAACTGATGCACGCTTAAAATCTTCAGAACACAGAGACAGGGATTATCAGCAGATTCGATTGAGAAAATTTCATCTTGATTCTCATTTACTTTGCTTTCACGGTTGCTCCATGTTTCCTCAACACACCGTCCTCAGTGAGTTTTTGTTCAATTCATAAATAATGGTGATATATCTGATATTATATATGCTATAACTCAGTAAAAAGTATAAGACCTATAAGGAGAATTTCTGCTACCTTATTGAAAAAATTGTAACAAGTCATATGCATGCTGTTAGGCACCTTCAAACAGTTTTCTTATTATACAGGTAAGGTACTAGGGTAAAGGAAGCCAAAGACAGACTCTTGAACGGAACTGAGACCTCCGAAACACGCACCAACCCCCTCTCGCAAGCACAAATCCGTGCAATGCTGTACCACCAAGACCGATCTGCTCTACAAGCTGTAGCAATTCTTTTAAAAAACTGTTTATTATTGTATGTAACTCTCAAAATCCAGAATAGCTTTGGTAAGTGATTGTGTTAATAACACTTTCCCATGAACTATGAGCATTTTAGGGGGAAAAAAAACACTCAACTGCAGCCAGCAAGGCAGTATCTGTTCCCAAAATATAGCTAACAGCATGTGTACAGAGCCTGGCACAGCAGATAGGACGTCAGTCAAGGGAATAACAAATTGCAGGATCCTTGCTTGAAGGATGCTACCTGAGCAACTTCTACATTGATGAAGTCCATGCTTGATTATAATAAAAATGGAGCCTAACCTGGGGTTTCATCAGAGACTAAAAGGTCTCACCAGGAAAGGACGTAAGCCACACAGAAGTGTAATTAGTGAGGTGAGTTTTACCTCCTGTAACTTCAGGTGTGCACATATGATCTCATTCTCTGCATTTCTTTCTTAGTTAATGGAGCCCAGATGACACGTACCTCCTCCCAGAAAAGCTGCCTACGCTCTGGACTCATACAGCAAACTATTTTCCAAACAACTAGTTCAGTCGTAGAAAACCAAACCGCTGACAGCCACATTGAGTCAGATGAATCCCAAACTTGCTGTAAATCAGGCCAGGGGACAATTACTACACACACAAAAATGACTCTAAATTACTCATTACCGTTTAGGAAAGCCACTGCAATCAGTCACTGTGGCAAGTTCTGTGAAAACACCAGCTCAGTGCTAAACCTTACTCAAAATGCAAACGCTCAGACATTTTCAGAATGGGAGAAGGGTAAAACAAAAGTCATTATTCTACCGTATGAATCCAGGGTGCTCTTTAACACACTATGCAATCCTAGCCATTTCAAATACAATTGCAAATACGTCACTGAGTTGGAGAAATCAGAGGAAAGCAATGGAGATGGTCACAAATATGGAATAACTTCCCTAAATACTCTTGGTAAATTGATGGGGGGTAAACAGAGAGGGCTACAAAATCATAGGTGGTGTAGAGGAGATGGGGGGAAAACCGCTGTTTCTCAGAATAAAGCCTAGGGAGCACTACATGAAATTATCAAGCAGCAGTTTTAAACTGAACAAAAGCATGTTTGCTTTAACCATACAGTTCAGCTGAACTGAAGCAAGCACACCACTAAGAATGGCAAAAGCTTAACGAGGTTCCAAAGCAAGAGGACAAGTTGGGAGCGGTCAGACCCATCGGCAAGTTTTCGCTACCTCTGTTAGGAGCCATGCTCAGGACCCTGACCCACTGACGACTGAACGGCTGAAAACTCCTCAGAACAGATGGCTACTCTGCAAAACAGTGCTTAAAAGTTTTTAAAGCTCCACCCAAAACATACTGATTTTTTTCCCTGCTTTCTTCAAAAGAAGCTATGCGCTTCAACTTGCTACCTTTAAACTTGACCCACTGGAAAACCAGTTACCGTAAAACAAGCATAATCTCTGCTGTATCAATTACTAAAAGAAAATGAAGTGTCAGGAGGCCCTTGTACTTTTCAAAGTTTCAGGCAACTTGCTCAGCAAACAAGTGGAAAACCTACAAGTCAGAAATGTTTTGCCCCAGGCATTACCACAAAAGCATGAAAAGCCATCAAGCCAAATGGAAAGAGCTGCCCTCAGCCAGGTACTCTGCAGTGACAACACCACAGGACAGCACTGGGTTTTTACTCTCGCTATTGTGACGTGCAAAGTGCCCCCGTTTGCAGAAATACTCACATTTTGGTTCCTCAATTTCTACAGCAGCCATTGCAAAAGCAACGTGCCACGTGTTCAGCCCACAGAAGATCGGGATTCAAGCTGAACTTCCAAAAATCAGGCCTAACAGAAGAGTAACTACCAAGCAAGGAGGAACTTGGCTTTTTAAGAGCTCCAGATCATTTGGTGTCAGACTCCTTACCAGGGCGGTTCCAGGGCTAGTTCTTCCATCAACAGATTAGATACAGGCATGTCACTCAAGTCTGGATTCCTCCTGCCCATTTTTAGGCAACAAAGGGCCTCAGTTTGGAGCCCAAGGTCCCTCTGTACTGATGGGGGATACCCAGCAGAGGTGCATGTCTTGCCCTGCTGCCTTCCAGAAGTGGCATAACCCCAGCTTTCACCTCTCCACTACGGGGATTTTATCCGAAGGAAGGATACGGTCATGCAGAGAACTACGGGGCTCAAAGATCAAGAGAGGAAGTAGTTTTAAACGACTCCATCTTCAAGCATTATGAGACTGATTCTTGTAACACAGCATTCGCTTCCTAACGGGCACCACGTTATTGCATTGACTACCGAAGACAAACTAGAACATAAAAGAATTACATACACTCTGCTACAAGCAAATGGAGTCTCAACATGTCAGTAGAGTCTCAAATTACAGAATTTCAGCAAATCTAACCAGCCCTAGGCAAGGGGAGTTGAGGGGAGCTTGAACTATGCTATAACCAAGTATCGGTGGATACCAAAGTGCCTCTCCCGGTCACCCACCAGCTGCTCACTCAACTTTGGACCCTTGTATATTTTTACGCGTGTGTTTTGGGGCATCAACAATTCTTCACATGTAATGGGAGAAAACACAATTCCCCAGGTCTACGAGTATAAAGGTAACGTCACTATTGATTGGAGTTGTTTCCAATTCACACCAAGTGACATGGAATCAGGAATGCATCTGGGATTATATGAAACAAGGAGATTATTTCCCCCTTTCCCCCATCAACTTTCATAAATCGGCAAGAGCCTCCAGTGCCCTGGAGAGGAAAGGGGCTGGGGGCCTCTGGGAGCAGTGGAAGGGCATCCACAAGAGTGGTCGAGAGCATCTCGCTAAGCCAGACATTTCATAACACTGCACAAATTGTACGTCCAGCTTAGCGCGGGGATGCTGCAATGGTCTTTCACCCTTTGAGCCGATTGTTAGCTTTTCACAGGAACCAGCAGGGAAGCACATGTGAAACCTCTGTGGGGCTGGTGAGTGTCTCCATGCCTTGTGTGACTCTGCATGTAGATGAAGCAGCTTCGGCTTTCGGAGTTGCTGCTGCTTAGTTCTCAGAGAAGTCCTTTTCTCCCGCTTGGCTCCCTGCTGCGACAGTCCTTTTCAGTCTTTCTATCCCCCCCCCAGTCTCTTCTCCTGCACAACACAGGGAAACTTGATTGAAATAAAGACCCAAGAGAACATGGTTTATTTTCTCCTCTTCAATCCATTTTAGAAAAGCTTTTTAATTGGTTTAAAGAAAGATGCTAAACAAAATGCAGTGTTTTCCAGTCTTCTGGAACTAGTAGTAATAGATACCACTATTTAAGCATTGCTAAGTGGAACTAGCAAGCATGAGCTGTGACCAGGAATTTAAAGCAAACTCAGAGATGTTTCCAGTTTCTTTAAAGTCTAACATGTTTACTCTCAAAACTTCTGCAAAGTACAAACAAGCCAGAAAGCCCAGAAAACCAGAAACTTCAAGTATTTGCCCTTTCCCCACGATGTTAAAATAATACAGCCTCAACAGGAAGAGGGGAGTCTCGGAAGCAGCTTTCATAAACCAATTCAACAGAGACATATACCTCAATGCATAATTAATAAGATTTCATCCCAGAAATGCTCCTCTTACACACGTAGCCTACAGTAATTGTAGGAAGCTGCTTGCACATTAAGTATACTCCCTGCAAGTGATGTGACAACACCGTGTGAATACATAATCTGGGCCACAAAGATGGGAGCAGCAGAGCTGCGCTGCTGAAGCACACCCTCCACTTCCCACTCACTCCTTGCTTGCCGTTTCAACCGCTTCGCTGTTCCCGTTTCGAAGCTTTTCAAATCAATTCCGTATTTCGGGCCCCTCTGACGAGTGAAATGGTAAAGAGCCTGATGGCAATGGAGAACAGGTACCGGCTCCCCAGCATCTTGCCAACGATTTCTCCCAGCACAGGGACATGCCTGGCATGTCCCAGGACGCTCCATTTTTACAAGCAATGAGCCTAAACCATGATTCCAATCCCACAGAAATTCGTGTTGGCTTGACCTCATGGAGCAGGTTAGTACCACTGATGCTACTCATGTACATTTAAAGCATGTATGTGCATCTCAAATTACAACAAACCCCCTGAAACCAGCCATTACTTCCAAATAAATTGCTCCCCAAGGGAACTAGGCATCTCACAGGGATCTTGGAAGGGCATTGATTAACTGGCAGTATTATCTCCCTCGTGGATTCCTCACTTGAGCTTAAAAACCCCAAGAGTCTCCATGCCCAAATTCAATCTTTTTCACACTAAACATTCACAGCAGAAAAGGCCTTTTCCTGCATGAGTGTACCCCTTATGCACTGTTGTTTTTCTAATGCAAAAAGTCCTCACATGCCACGACTATCACAGGGAGCTCACAAGAAACAAACAAGCTAGGAAGAACCTTATCATCAGAACTGCCAAACAAGGTCAGCCCAAAGGGTCCGTCTAACCCAATGTCCTTATTTCCACAGTAGCCAATAGTGGACACAGAAAAAAAGAAAAAAAAAAACCCCCACGTCATCAATCAAACGGTGACATTTCCTCAGAAAACTCTCTCTCTACCCTCCAACAATTTATGGCTTAAGTCACCGTAATATTGGCTGTCAACCCAAAGTCTTCCAGCCTCAAGGGCATTTCAAACATTGCAAAGTACAAATCTCTAGCAACATGCATAAACTTGGCAAATATCTGAGAGCTTCAAGCCCTGCATCCTGCTTTCAGGGAGACTCGGGTGCCAACAAAAGTGCATCTAAATAGCAAAATACATTCAGAGGATGCAATGATAAAATGGACAATTTAATATTTTAAGTTCCTTTGACAACTGAACCAAATCAAGTTCTATTTTCCCCTATTGATTTATGGGAACAATCATTTCCTGGTACTGTGGATATACCCAGCAATAGGTCAACGATTACATGAGATTATGACAATCAAAAATGGTTGTGCTGTTGCATACAGGCAGCCTTTCTGTTCCAACGTATGCGATAACAGAATCCAAGTTTATGTTAGAGACTTCAACATGGCATAGAAAGCTTACCGGGAAAAACCTTTGTTCTCCCAGGTTGACAGTCACAAGGGGAACTTCAGGGCCTGTGGCATTACAATTTAGTTCAAAGTTCTATATTTGAAAGGTCTTTTCACCAAACTCTCTAATGAAAACAACACTCACGCATACGTTACTGTTTCCAGGATATTAAAAATGACAAAAAAATTGAGTTCATCCAGGCTGTGCTTCTCTGCTTTTTCCTGACACCAATTTTCAAGGTTTTCCTGTTAGTACGTTATTTATTCATGCAGATACTTTCACACACAGCAAAATTCCAGTGAACGACAGGAGAAATGGCAAATAAAAAAGAAGAGTCTCTGCCTGTTTGTCTCATTCAGTGCAAGCTTCAGAAACATTACCACTTGTGATGGTCTTAAATCTCATCAAGCCAGAAAGCGCAAATAGACAGGATCAGCATGAGATGTAAGATCTTAAGCTTTCCTCACCTATTGTAATTAACACCTGATAATTTCAAGTTAAGAACAAATTAAAACCCTGACATCCACAACCATACATTACTTAGAAATTGATTTCTAAATAAGGAGGGACCACTTGGTTGAGCCAGGGACTGATTTGGACTAAACAGTTCCTCAGTTAATCAGAAAGCAGGCAGCTTGCATGTTTTAAGTTTTACATGATGAAGGTTAAACTTATTTCCTTAGCCAGTATTTCTAGGGCTAACTGCAGAAGATTCAGCCTTAAGTAATTAGATAATTAAAGTTGAATCCTTTGTGGTTATCCTAGAAATGTCTAACTGAATGAACAGCAGCAGGCTGGGATTAACTTGACTGAATCAGAGACAACAGCACTAATACCACTGCCAGCACAGCAGCTATCAGCAAGACACAAAGCTCTCCACTGTCAAAATTATTACAGGAATAGGGCATCTCATCCCTCGATTACTTTCTTACCTGAGGGGGGGCCTTCTTTAGCAGTACAAGAAGGGCTTGCAACACCAGATTAGAGAACCGTGGTCCAATTGGGACATAATCTGAAATGAAAAATGCATTTTAATGCCCACTAAGCAGATGCACATTTAAGCCACTTCACTGTATCAAAACCAGTTCAAGGCTCCCAAAGTAAATGGTTCCAGATCATTTCCAGTTTGCAATACTTCAATATTGCAAATATTTCGATATTTCTGCGCAGCAGACGACATAGCGCTCTCTCATTGTCCTAACTCACCTAGAAGCCTCTCAATGTCGTCCACAACGACACAGCTGAGTTGGGACTTGTATGCATCATCAAAGATCTAAAAAACAGCAAAATGACTCGTTGTTAGATCTCAGCAGCAAAACTACAACAGTCATGATAGGACCTGTTGATGTGTTTTTAGCTAAACACAGCAATATTTAGAGGAATAAACAAAGAATAAGATAGATAAGTACCAACAGACTAAACGCTACCTGCATTTAATAAAACACTGCCATTTCAACAAATTCAGAGCTCAGTTTTGTTCATTTACCTCATACATTTTGCAAAAAAGCCGGGTGCCCTGCATTTAATTGTAAGCAATGGACAAAATACGGCACCGTTCCCCTGGCTGTTTGAGCTGGGGCAATACTGATAATCATAGGATCATAGAACCGTTTAGGTTGGAAAAGACCTTTAAGATCAT